CACACACACACACACACACACACACACACACACACACACACACACACACACACACAAACACAACAGACACCTTCATAATGAAACCCCACGGCCCGAGTGGTGTGTGCCTCCCAGGCTCCATTAGCTCCATGAACACGGCTGTTATAAACCCCGGTGCAGCAGGCTGAGGCTCCTGTTAGCGACACATTTAAAGACCTCACTGATGCTGGTTTGACTAACAGCAGCGGGGCTCGTGCTCACACAGCTAGCTCTGATAGATGAACGTGTCGACTCACCCAGAAAAGAGCTGTCAGAGCTGAAAACCACCGTCCTCCCGGCGACGGACCGCTCTGCTTCCCTGCAGCCGCAGAGGACAAGCTTTATGAAACAGAAAACACTGAGGCCCTTTTTTTTTTTTTTTGTCCTCTGATCTTCCCCGCCGGTATGCGCGTGCGGCAGCTCCGCCGCTGACAGAGCGCAGCTCGCGGGGTGGGATGGAGAGGAGTCTAGCGCTTCCGCGCTGGCTGGCAGGGGCGCGCGGGAGGTCCGGGCTGAGAGAGTTACTTTTCCAGACTGATGAGTGGCTGAACAGACGTCCTCCTCCTCCTCCTCCTCCTCCTCTCTGCGGAGCGGCAGCTGAGAGAATCTGCTCCTCGTTGGACCACTGCGCCCGCGGTTCGAGCGGCGCGTGAGGGACGGGACGAGTCTCGGGCCTGACTCTCTGGATCCTCCAGAGCCGATCAGTCAGTTGCTGTTACACACGTGCTTCTTTACGATGCACAGATAAAACCAGCAGAACAGGTTTTTACTGGAGGTTAAAGATGAGTCCCAGATAGAGGGCACCGGTTTTTAAAGGGAGATTCTGGCCCAGTGCCGGCTCTAGCCATTTCGGTGCCCTGGGCGAGTTGAAGCGCCCACCCACCACAATTTGAACCCCTAAAAACGAGTTTGACAGTGTAAGGTACCATGGTAAACTTAGATTTATTTGCCCCCCCCGCGGGTGCGAGTTGTTTGGATTTTTTGCAGAATTTACAGATTTTTGAGTCTTTTTTATCAGGTAAACATCTGAAGAGGTTGACATGTTTGGCACAAAAAAAATACAGACTTGTTGTTATTGCGTTTGTCAACATGAACCACTACCTGAGGGGCACTACCAGTCTCTCCTATCAGAGTGTCGGAGACGGACGGATCAGCACAACGCCAATCAAATGAGATAGAGGATGGGGGCGATTGCATCATTGGGGGGGTGTTTTATGGGTAGAATAGTTTATTTTTCCTGTAACATTTCATTATAGTTTTTTAAGACAAAGCTAATTGA